ATCAGAAAGCACTTGAACCCTACCTCCTTCCCCTCTTCTTCTTCGAAAATATCCGGTTGAGAACGCAGAAAACGCACGATTCCAACCTTTACTACATTCAATGTCAGACGGGCCCACGAGATAGCTCCGGAGACTGGAGGCAGGAAAAACGCGATCGGAGGGCTTGTCTTCATCTCTTTAAATTTGAGTTCCACTCTTTGGAGCTATGAAAAGTCGTAAATAGGGACTTTTGGCACGGTGGTGGGTCAAACGATAAATGAAACGCTGCATTGCTACTGACGCATTAAAAGTAGAAATAATTTTAGGAGTTCAAAACATCAACAGTACCTCCTTGCCCAGACTTCGGAGAACATCGCGGTACTTGTCCAGCAGCAGGCAACTGATTGCGGCCCGCGCCTTCACTGATTTGAACTTTTCCAAAAGGTTAAAGGCGTTATTGGCTCCTCGGATATGAGCAAAATAGTCATTCACAAAGTTCTTGGCTTTGGCGTCAATCATATGCACTTTGTCCTCGAAGCGCTCCAACAGCCGATTCCACACTTTCTCGTTTTGTGTAAGGAATGGGCAGGGCAGACTCTGAACCAACAAAGCAAAGATTGAATGAAAGCATCACGTCTGTGAGAAAATTGCGAAAACTCACGACAGCTGCGGCTTCTCGCAGTGACGTATCAACTGTGTCTTACCGAATCGGTGAATGCATTGAAAAGGTTGTCCACCAGTATAAGAACCTCTGTCAGGGATTTGCTGTCACCAGTTATATTCTTTAATTCGGGGCCAAACATTCGATAAAATTCCCTCGCACACTAAAATAAAATAAATTACACAATGAGTAATACTATGAGCTGAGTCAGTCAGATACTTGCAAACCTCATTCGTGGAGTTCATACCATTGAGGCCGCTTTTTTTATTGAAATGATCTCTGAAAATTGATCATATGAATTGTTGTTTGGCTGACCCTATGCTTAATCCTAAGCTATGAATGAAAGTGCTCTAATGGTATTCAATAAAATCACCATATAACTCCAGATTGAGCTAAGTTCACAGATAACATTTGTTAGGAGCCCACCTAATCGAAACGCTCCCACGCCACGCTATCGACCCGTCCACCTGCAGTGCACGCGAGGACGCGCAAGCAGCCGCCGCAATTAGCACTCTCCCACGCCAATCAGATGAG